AAAAAAAAGTCTTATATAAACCTCAAAAAGAAAGGACTTAAAATACATAAAAGAAAGTGAAGAAAGCGCCGAGAGAAAGTACAGGTAAGGTCTTATAAGGTGTGTTCAAATTGGCACTTTGTGAGAGAGTGAGAGTAAGTGAGGAGAGAGAGAGAGTGAGGGGAGGTAGGAAATTAAACTTGAGAAGGGAGATACTGTAGGGAAGGGAGAGATACTGAGTGAGGGAGAGAGAGAGAGAGGAGGAGTGAGGTGAGGTAGGGGAGAGAGAGAGAGTGGGTGAGAGGGGTGGGAGAGGAGGGATTATATCTAAGGAAGGGAGGGGGGAGGGGGAGGAAGGAGAGGATTACATAGCATAAGGTAGAGGGATTACTTTGTAAGATGTTGTGAGTAATCCGGGGAAGAGGGGTGATAGGGAGGGGGTGATAGGAGGGGGAGAGGGGTGATAGGGAGGGGAGAGGGTGATAGGGAGGGGAGAGGGGTGTGATAGGGAGGGAGAGGGGTGATAGGGAGGGGGGGAGGTGATAGGGAGGGGGAAAGAGGGGTGTTGGAGAGGAGAGGGGTGATAGGGAGGGAGAGGGTGATAGGAGGGAAGAGGGTTGATAGGGAGGGGAAGAGGGTGATAGGAGGGAGAGGGGTGATAGGGAGGAAGGAGTGAAGGGGGGAGGAGGGAGGGAGGGAAGGGAGGGGAGAGGGGTGATAGGGAGGGGGGAGAGGGGTGATAGGGAGGAGAGGGGGTGATGGAGGAGGAAGAGGGGGTGATAGGGAGGGAGGAGAGGTGATAGGGGAGGGGAGAGGGGTGATAGAGGAGAGAAGAGGTGGGGAGAGGGGTGATAGGGAGGGAGAGGGGTGATAGGGAGAGAGGGGTGATAGGGAGGGAGAGGGGTGATAGGGAGGGAGAGGGGGTGATGGGGAGGAAGGGGTGATAGGGGAGGGGAGAGGGTGATGGGGAGGGAGAGGGGTGTTGGAGGAGGGGGAAGAAGGGTGTTGGAGAGGGGGAGAAAGAGGGTGATGGGGAGGGGAGAGGGGTGATAGGGAGGGAAGAGGGTGATAGGGAGGGGAGGGGTAAGGGAGGGGGAAGAAGGGAGGAGAGGGGGAAGAGGGGTGATAGGGAGGAGAGGGGTGATAGGGAGGGAAGAGGGGGATAGGGAGGGGAGAGGGGGTGATAGAGGGAAGAGGGGTGATAGGGGAGGGAGAGGGGTGATAGAGGGGGAGAGGGGTGATAGGGGGGGAGAGGGGGTATAGGGGAGGGGTGATAGGGAGGGGAGAGGGGTGATGGGAGAGGGGGAAGAGGGGTGATAGAGGGGGAGAGGGTGAGAGGGGAGAGGGGAGGGGAGGGGAAGAGGGTGATAGGGAGGGGGAGGGGTGATAGGAGGGAAGAGGGGATAGGGGAGGGGGAGAGGGGTGATAGGGAGGGAAGAGGGGTGGAGGGAGGGGAAGAGGGTAGGGGAGGGGAGAGGGTGATAGAGGAAGAGGGTGTTGGGAGAGGGGAAGAGGGGGTGATGAGGAGGGGGGAAGAAGGGGGAGAGGGGTGTTGGAGAGGGGACAGGGAGGAGGCAGAGGGGGATAGGGGAGGGAAGAGGGGTGATAGGGAGGAAGAGGGGGAAGAGGGGTGTTGGAGAGGACGGGGTGATAGGAGGCAGAGGTGATAGAGAAGAGGGAAGATTGGATGGGGTGAGAGGAGAGCGGAGGAGGGGGGTAATAGGAAAGGGGAGGAGAGAAAGATGAAAGAGAGATAGACAAGTGAGAAACACACACACACACACACACACACACACACACACACACACACACACCACACACACACACACACCACACACACACACACCCACACACACACACACACACACACACACACACCAGACACCCACACACACACACACACACACACACACACACACACACACACACACACCACACCACACACACACACACACACACACACACACACACACACACACACACACATCCACACACACACACACACACACACACACACACACACACACACACACAGACACACACACACACACACACACACACACACACACACACACAGACAGACACATACACACACACACACACACACAGACACACACACACACACACACACACACACACACACACACACACACACACACTCCAGGTAATCATATTATAATGAAGAGTTCAACATGGCACTTGGATTTTTTCAATTACATCCATAATAATTACCCCCGCGATAATTACACCCGCGATAATTACAAATTGGCCTTGATATCATTACTCGAAAATTCACACCCACCACGATTATTGTAACGCCAATTAAAACATACTAATTATTGATACAGCAATTGATGTACGCGAATTATTAAAAGGCAATTATTATACTTTAATTAATTATTGATACGGCAATTATTTTACGCTAATTATTGACACGGCAGTTATGACACGCCAATTTATATACGACAATAATAGAATACGTCAGTTATACGCAGATTATTACTACGCCAATTATAATACGCCGATTATTACTACGCCAATTATACGCCGATTATTACTATGCCAATTATAATACGCCGATTATTACTACGCCAATTATAATACGCCGATTATATAAACATCCTGTTATATACGTGTTTAGTCGAGGATGAACCGTATTTTGCCTGATTTTTTTTCTTATTTACTGAAGATTATCGCGTATTTTGTTAATTTATATCCACCCCCCCCCTTACCTCACTCTCCCCCTGTCTTCCCCCTCACCCTTACATCTCCTTCTACCCCCTTACCTTCCCCTCACTTTTCCCCTGATGTCAACCTCTCTCCTTCCTCCCTCTCACCCCACCTCACCTCCTTTCTCTTCCTCACCCCCACTCTCCTCACCTCCTCCCTCCACCCCACCTCCTCCCACCCCTCCTCCCCCTCCAATCCCACCCTCCTCCCTCCCTCCTCCCTCCACCCCACCTCCTCCTCCCACCCTCCTCCCTCCCCACCTCACCCCCACCTCTCCCAGGCTCAAGTTGTACAAAGTCAACATTATTGACTTCAGGGTTGACAGCTGTTCACGGCTTTGAGGTTTATATACTGTTTCAAACATTCCTCTTTGTTGTGGTCCTTTCAAACACGTCCAATACACGTCCCAACCTCAAGTCCTGGTATTTTTCTTTCTGTTGGACTTGATGAAGTTCTTGACTACCAACGACTCGTAATGGAGTTGTTTTTACTCACCCCAACCCACCCTAACTCCACCCTATCCCATCTAACCCAATTCCTATCCCAATCTCTATCCCACACTCCAATACGCCATCCAATCCCAACCTAACTCCCCACCCCACCCTAACCCAATTTAACCCAATTCTAACCCACCCTAACCCACCCCAATCCACCCCTAACTCGTGTACAAACTATCATGTATGTTCGTCTGTCTGTAACATGAGGGAGAGACACTTATAGAGATAGTCTTTGTTCATTTAACTTGTGGTGTCTTAGTGTCTCGTTACAATCTCTCAAGAAGGAGTTAAGGATCTCTTTACTGGTCAGAGAGAGAGAGAGAGGGAGAGAGAGAGAGAGTGTGTGTGTGTGAGTGTGTGTGTGTGTGTGTGTGTGTGTGTGTGTGTGTGCATGTAAGTCATGTCTACGTGTGTGTGTGTGTTCAGTTTGGTATACAGTATTTCAGTATACGTATATTTCTGTCTATCTGAGTAAGACAGGGCTGTAACTCCTGTCACTACACACGGACAGGTAGGCTCACCCGGGTCCTCCTCAGGTAACTCAATCTCTTGTTATGTAAATTTGGAACGACGGAGATTTTGGGCCCCTGTGTATCACCCTGCTGCAAATATCTCACGACCCTGGCCAAATTTCTGGTTCCGTTTCTTCAGCCAACTTGTTGTAGGTACGTGGCTTCGATACCCGCCTCGAGGCTGTACCAAATTCGAGGTGGGGTTTTTTTTGGGGGGAAGTTTTTGTTATTTTGTTATTTTATTTATTTATTATTTAGTGGATTGTTATTTATTTATTTTATTTTTGAGAGGGGGAGTTTAAAATAACGTGGATATAAATACTCATTATATTGTTATTTTTGGGTTATTGGTACTTAGAACGTGTGGCCTCGAAACCCTTAACCCTCATATCCATCCTTTACACTTCTATTCCCTTCCTCACTTCCTCCTAAATCCCTCCTCCCTCAACCCTCCAAGGCTCTGATAAAATTCTCCTGTGTTGTATAAAATTTAGAAATCCACTTTCTCTGTCGTCAGTTTTTCTACTCTCTTTAGTACCAGGCTTCACACCCTCCTCACCCCTTCCTTCTCCCCACCCATCTCCCCATTCCCCCCTCTCTCTCACCTCCCCAAAAAGAGAAAGGTAATTTGGTGTAGTTTTTCATTAGGGATGTGAGTGTCTTGTTATTAGTGCTTTAAGACAGTGTGTGTGTGTGTGTGTGTGTGTGTGTGAGAGATAAAACAACCTACCCAACACGACAGACAGACAGACAGACAGACACAGACAGACAAACAGACAGAGACAGACAGACAGACAGACAGACAGGCAGGCAGCAGACAGACAGACAGACAGAGACACAGACAGGCAGGCAGACAGACAGAAGACAGACAGACAGACAGACACAGACAGGCAGACAGACAGACAGACAGACAGACAGACAGGCAGGCAGCAGACAGACAGACAGAGCAGACAGACAAAGATACACTTATATGATTATTAAAATATGTTCCTTTATAGGCATGAACAGACAATATAAATGTTGCTTGGGGAGGGGAGGGGAGGGGGAGGGGAGGGGTGGGGGAGGGAGGGAGAGGGAGGTCACAGCTGGCTTTATATTTGTTGTACGGGTCTATTTCTAACACACACACACACACACACACACACACACACACACACACACACACACACACACACACACACACACACACACACACACACACACACACACACACACCCGGGGTCCTGTTGTTTGTATATTCTGGTTGGGTATCAAAGGGTTTTGTGTGTAGGACAGAGAGAGAGAGACAAAGAGAACAGAGAAAGAGAGAGAAGTAGAGAGAGAGACGAGAGAGACAGACAGAGAGACAGACAGAGAGAGATATAATGGAATTTCTCTCAAACCTAGATTCAGCTGGTTCTGTGTCTTAAGTTAATATGCTTGTGTAAAATTGCTCCCTCTCATAATTGGGTAACCATCTGGCCCAGGGACTTCATCTTTCATCTCTCAACCTAAAAGGCAGAACTGGCGATTGAAGTCGATTACGTGATATTGTTGTATTTAGGAGTGAGTTGATCCAGCTGCTGCCTTAACACACACACCACAGACACGCACAGACAGACAGACGGACAGACGGACACACCTACAGACACGCACAGACAGACAGACGGACACAGGCTGACATAGAGACACGGACAGACAGACTTGACTCTAACTCCCCTCGTAACCTACCCCCCTACCCCTACCCCCTCTCATGACACCTCAATCCCTCCTCCTCGCATGACCCTGAAACCCATCCCCAAAATCCCTATCCCTCTTCCTGCCTTTTAACCCTCTTCCCTTCCTCTAACCCCTTCCTCTACCCCTCTTCCCTTCCTCTAACCCCTCTTTCCCTTCCCTCCTCTAACCTCTTCCCTTCTCACCCTTCCTAACCCTTCTCCTTCTCTAACTCCTTCTCTCTTTCAACCCTCTTTCCTTCTCTACCCTTCCTTCTTCTAACCTCTTCTCTACCTCTTCCTCCTTCTAACCCTTCCTCTAACCCTCTTCTTCCTCTAACCCTCTTCCCTTCCTCTACCCTCTCCTTCCTCTAACCCCTCTTCCCTTCCCCACCCCTCTTCCTTCCCCCCTCCTTCCTCTTCCCTTCCTCTAACCCCTTTCCCTTCCTCTAACTTCCTTCTCTAACCTCTTTCTTCAACCTCTTTCCTTCTCTAACCCTTCTCTAACCCTTCCCTTCTCTAACCCTCTTCCTTCTCAACCTCTTCTAACTCCTCTTCCCCTTCTAACCCTTCTCTCACCCCCTCCCCACTTCCCTAACCCTCACATAACCCTACTCCCCACTCCCTAACACCCCCCTACCTCCCACAGCCACCATGATCTGAGAATAGTCACAGAACCCCCATCGTCACACCTACCGTCACACTGGTCCCCTCGTCGTCACACCACCGTCACCCTGGTCCTCTATCGTCACACCACCGTCACCCTGGTCCCCTCATCGTCACACCACCGTCACCCTGGTCCCCCATCGTCACACCACCGTCACACTGGTCCCCATCGTCACACCACCGTCACCCTGGTTCCACGTCACACCACCGTCACCCTGGTCCCCTCATCGTCACACCACCGTCACCCTGGTCCCCATCGTCACACCACCGTCACCCTGTCCCCTCATCGTCACACCACCGTCACCCTGGTCCCCTCATCGTCACACCACCGTCACCCTGGTCCCCATCGTCACACACCGTCACACTGGCCTCATCGTCACACCACCGTCACCCTGGTTCCCACGTCACACCACCGTCACCCTGGTCCCCTCATCGTCACACCACCGTCACCCTGGTCCCCTCATCGTCACACCACCGTCACCCTGGTCCCCGTCGTCACACCACCGTCACACTGGTTCCCACGTCACACCACGTCACTGGTCCCTCATCGTCACACCACCGTCACACCAACCTTCCTACCTGGAGATGAACCAGAGATCGTCTATATCACAAATCTCCTTTATGGTGTGTAAAACTGACCGCGGGTGACGAGGAGATTGATCTGTGTGGGGGGGGTCCTTCTGTGAGAGATGCTATGATCTGTGTGGGGGGTCCTTCTGCTGAGAGATGTGCTATGATCTGTGTGGGGGGCTTCTGTGAGAGATGTGCTATGATCTGTGGGGGGGGTCCTTGCTGAGAGATGTGCTATGATCTGTGTGGGGGTCCTCTGCTGAGAGATGCTATGATCTGTGTGGGGGGGTCCTTCTGCTGAGAGATGCTATGATCTGTGTGGGGGGGTCCTTGCTGAGAGAGTGCTATGATCTGTGTGGGGGTCCTGCTGAGAGAGGTGTTATGATCTGTGTGGGGGGGTCCTCTGCTGAGAGAGTGTGCTATGATCTGTGTGGGGGGTCCTCTGCTGAGAGATGTGCTATGATCTGTGTGTGGGGGGGTCCTTCTGCTGAGAGATGTGCTATGATCTGTGTGGGGGGGGGTCCTCTGCTGAGAGATGTGCTATGATCTGTGTGTGGGGGGGGTCCTTCTGCTGAGAGATGTGCTACATCTGTGTGGGGGGGGTCCTTCTGCTGAGAGATGTGCTATGATCTGTGTGGAGGGGGGGGGTCCTTCTGCTGAGAGATGTGCTATGATCTGTGTGGGGGGGGTCCTTCTGCTGAGAGATGTGCTATGATCTGTGTGGGGGGTCCTTCTGCTGAGAGATGTGCTATGATCTGTGTGGGGGGGGGTCCTTCTGCTGAGAGAGATGTGCTATGATCTGTGTGTGGGGGGGTCCTCTGCTGAGAGATGTGCTATGATCTGTGTGTGGAGGGGGGGGTCCTTCTGCTGAGAGATGTGCTATGATCTGTGTGTGGGGGGTCCTTCTGCTGAGAGATGCTATGATCTGTGTGGGGGGGTCCTTCTGCTGAGAGATGTGCTATGATCTGTGTGAGGGGGGGGTCCTTCTGCTGAGAGATGTGCTATGATCTGTGTGGGGGGGTCCTTCTGCTGAGAGATGTGCTATGATCTGTGTGGGGGTCCTTCTGCTGAGAGATGTGCTAAGGATCTGTGTGGGGGGTCCTCTGCTGGAGAGATGTGCTATGATCTGTGTGGGGGGGTCCTTCTGCTGGAGAGATGTGCTATGGATCTGTGTGGGGGGGTCCTTCTGCTGAGAGATGTGCTATGATCTGTGTGGGGGGGGTCCTTCTGCTGAGAGATGTGCTATGATCTGTGTGTGGGGGGGTCCTTCTGCTGAGAGGATGCTATGATCTGTGTGGGGGGGGTCCTTCTGGCTGAGAGATGTGCTATGATCTGTGTGTGGGGGGGGTCCTTCTGCTGAGAGATGTGCTATATCTGTGTGGGGGGGTCCTTCTGCTGAGAGATGCTATGATCTGTGTGGGGGGGTCCTTCTGCTGAGATGTGCTATGATCTGTGTGGGGGGTCCTTCGGGGAATGTGCTGCTGTGGGGGTCCTGCTGAGAGATGTGCTAGATCTGTGTGAGGGGGGGGGTCCTTCTGCTGAGAGATGTGCTATGATCTGTGTGGGGGGGGTCCTGCTGAGAGATGTGCTATGATCTGTGTGAGGGGGGGGGTCCTTGGAGAGATGTGCTATGATCTGTGGGGGGGTCCTTCTGCTGAGAGATGCTATGATCTGTGTGTGGGGGGTCCTTCTGCTGAGAGATGTGCTATGATCTGTGTGGGGGGGGTCCTTCTGCTGAGAGATGTGCTATGATCTGTGTGGGGGGGTCCTTCTGCTGAGAGATGTGCTATGATCTGTGTGGGGGGTCCTTCTGCTGAGAGTGTGCTGTGATCTGTGTGTGTGGAGGGGTCCTTCTGCTGAGAGATGCTATGATCTGTGTGGGGGGGTCCTTCTTGAGAGATGTGCTATGATCTGTGTGAGGGGGGGTCCTTCTGCTGAGAGATGTGCTGTGATCTGTGTGGGGGGGTCCTTCTGCTGAGAGATGCTATGATCTGTGTGTGGGGGGTCCTTCTGCTGAGAGATGCTATGATCTGTGGGGGGGGTCCTTCTGCTGGAGAGATGTGCTATGATCTGTGTGTGGGTCCTTCTGTGAGATGTGGGGGGGGGTCCTTCTGCTGAGATGTGCTATGATCTGTGTGGGGGGTCCTTCTGGAGTGCTTATTGTGTGGGGGTTGGGATGTTTGTGTGGTGTGAGGATGTGCTGTGTTGTGTGGGGGGGGGTCTTCTGTGGGGGTGTTTGATCTGTGTGTGGGGGGGGTCTTCTGCTGAAGATGTGCTATGATCTGTGTGTGGGGGGTCCTTCTGGTGTAGTGTGCTGTGGGGGGTTGGTGTGGTATGTGTGGTTGTGGGTGGTGTGGTGTGGTGTGGTTGGTTGTGGAGGTGGTGTGGTGTGGTGTGGTGTGGTGTGGTGTGGTGTGGTGTGGTGTGGTTTGTGGGTGGTGTGGTGTGGTGTGGTGTGTGGGTGGTGTGGGAGTGGTGTGGTTGTGGGGGTTAGTTGGTGTGGTGGTGTGTTGTAGGGTTATATACACTATCCTTCTGTCTGTCTGTCTGTCTGTCTGTCTGTTTGTCTGCCTGTCTGTCTGTCTGTCTGTCTGTCTGTCTGTCTGTCTGTCTGTCTGTCTGTCTCTGTCTGTCTGTCTGTCTGTCTGTCTGTCTGTCTCTTATCCTGGCTTAGATGTGGGTGTGTGGAGGTCTTGATATACTATGAGTGGAGTGATGGAGGTTTGTGTGGGTATGATCTGTGTCTGTGTGCTCATGTGTGTGTGTGTGTGGGGTGGCAGGGGGGGGGGGGGGGGGGGGGGGGGGGGGGGGGGGGGGGGGGGGGGGGGGGGGGGGGGGGGGGGGGGGGGGGGGGGGGGAGTGGGCCAGGATGTCAGTGCAGAGCCTGGGCTGGGTCAGGAGTCGAGGCTCAGTGAGCCTGGGAGGTGACAGACCAGAGGATGAAACAGCCAGGTGCAGAGGCTAGAGGAGGAGGCTAGAGAGGAGGGAGGAGGGAGCTAGAGGGGGGGGAGGCTAGAGAGGGGGAGGGGGAGGCTAGAGGGGAGGAGGCTGGGGGGAGGGCTAGAGAGGGAGGGAGGGGGGAGGCAGAGAGAGGGAGGGAGGGAGGAGAGCTAAGAGGGGGGAGGGGGAGCTAGAGAGGGAGGGAGGGCTAGAGAGGGAGGGAGGCTAGAGAGGTGAGGGGAGGCTAGAGAGGAGGGAGGAGGAGGGCTAGAGAGGGAGGGGGGAGGAAGAGCTAGAGAGGGAGGGAGGAGGCTAGAGAGGGAGGGAGAGGGGAGGGCTGAGAGGGAGGAAGAGAGGCTAGAGAGGGAGGGGAGAGGCTAGAGTAGAGGGGGAGGAAGTGAGGGGAGGGAGGAGAGGCTGGGGGGGAGGGGGGCTAGAGGGGGAGGCTAGAGGGAGGGAGGTGAGGAGGCTAGGGGAGTAGAGAGGAGGAGGGAGGGGAGAGAAGGCTGAAAGGGGAAGGTGAGAGGAGAGCTAGAGAGGAAGAGGGAGGGGGGTGGGTGGGGGGGTGGGAGGGGGAGCTAGAGAGGGGAGGGGGAGGCTAGAGGGGGGGGAGGCTAGAGGGAGGGAGGCTAGAGGGGGCTAGAGAGGGAGGGGGAGGGGAGGCTAGAGGAGGGAGGGGGGGGGGGGGGGGGGGGGGGGGGGGGGGAGAGAGCTAGAGAGGGGGGAGGGCAGAAGGAGGTGAGGAAGGGAGAGAGCTAGGGAGGAGGCTAGGGGAGGGAGGGGGGAGAGGCTAGAGAGGGGGGGGGGGGGGGGGGGGGGGGGGGGGGGGCTAGAGAGGGAGGAGGGAGGGGAAGCTAGGGGAGGGAGGGGGAGAGCTGGAGAGGGGAGGGAGGGGGAGGGAAGGAGGCTAGAGGGAGGGAGGCTAGAGAGGGAGGGAGGGAGGCTAGAGAGGGAGGGCTAGAGAGAGGGAGGCCTAGAGAGGGGGGGGAGGGAGGCTGAGGGGAGGAGGGAGGGGGGAGGCTGGGAGGGAGGAGGCTGGTGAGGAGGGAGGCTAGAGAACTGTGCAGGTGTGTGATGCTGTGATATGTGTAAATCTCCAGAATGAGAGTCGCGTCTCGTTATGTAAATAGACGTAATGTAAGAGAACTGTGTCAGATGGGGTTGAATAATGTATAAACAATTGTGGTGGATGATGAGTAATGTTTAGGTTAATATAGATGATGTGTATGTTTAGGTTAACGGATGATGAGTATGTTTAGGTTAACGGATGATGAGTAATGTTTAAGGTTAACGGATGATGAGTAATGTTTAGGTTAACGGATGATGTGTAATTGTAATATTTAAGGTTAACGGATGATAGTAATGTTTAGGTTAACGGATGATAGTAATGTTTAGGTTAACGGATGATGAGTAATGTTTAAGGTTAACGGATGATGAGTGTTTAAGGTTAACGGATGATGGTAATGTTTAGGTTAACGGATGATGGTATGTTTAGGTTAACGGATGATGATGTTTAGGTTAACGGATGATGAGTAATGTTTGGTTAACGGATGATAGTAATGTTTAAGGTTAACGGATGATAGTATGTTTAAGGTTAACGGATGATAGTATGTTTAAGGTTAACGGATGATGGTAATGTTTAAGTTAACGGATGATGAATATGTTTAAGGTTAACGGATGATGAGTAATGTTTAAGGTTAACGGATGATGTGTAATGTTTAAGGTGTCCCGGATGATGTGTATGTTTAAGGTGTCCCGGATGATGTGTAATGTTTAAGGTTAACGGATGATGAGTAATGTTTAAGGTTAACGGATGATAGTAATGTTTAAGATAATAGTAATATTTAAGTTAGCGGATGATGAGTAATATTTAAAGTTAACGGATGATGAGTAATGTTTAAGAGTTAACGTTTAGGTTAACGGATGATGTGTAATGTTTAACGGATGATGGGTTAACGGATGAGTAATGTTTAAGGTTAACGGATGATGAGTAATGTTTAAGGTTAACGGATGATGAGTAATGTTTAAGGTGTCCCAGATGATAGTAATGTTAAGGTTACGGATGATGAGTAATGTTTTAAGGTGTCCCGATGATGAGTATGTTTATGTTTAACGGATGATG